AGGGTTAACATTTTCTTTCAGTGGCGTGAAAAAGGCATTCAACAAATTAACTTCAGCTGGGCCTTCCTTTCTGCTCACATCTGCACTGACAGTGGCTAGCTCAGCCTCCACTGAGTACCTTCTGTGTACTTTCTGTGCACAACACCTGTACAGACATGGGATGCAGGTCAGGGCCAGGAGTCCTGACCTTGGACGGTCTTAGGATCCAATTTCCTGGTGCCAAGTGAGGCCCCTCCGGGGATCAGTGGATTTTCCCTTCAAACTTTGGTTTCCTGTAGGCAAAATATGCTGGTATTCTTGTAATGAATGGAGAGCATCATTTATGAGTTCCTAGTTTAGCAAACCAGGAGTTGTGAGACATCCGGAGAGGTGCTGCAATCCAACACTTGGGCTGTTTGGCAGTCCTGCCTCCGTGCTGAGAAAGTGGGTCAGTCATGTTTACTAGTGGTGGCAACCATAATGATCATCACAGCTGTGTTCTTGCAGTTAGAAGAACAAGGGGTCTTGAGACTGTATTTAAGTTTATAGAACTGGCTTTTTAAAAACTCACATTTACTGGAATTCTATTATTATTTTTAAAGCCTGGACTTTTGAGCTTCTCCTTAATATCAGTAGCAACACTTTAAATTTCTAGAAAGATCTCAGGTTTGATGAAATAGAAGCAGCATGCTTTTCACATTTGAATTGCTGATGATAGGTTTACTAGAGTCTGCTCATACCTTTAGGATGAATCCCATGTATTTTTGACTGTGTACAAAAGTCTAGTGGTTAAAGCTCCAGAATTGGTGAGTCAAATGGGAAACACACGTTTTGAGCACAAGATTTCACAAAAAAATCAGGCAGTGACTCAGACTTTCACCACCAGTGTGCTCCAGGAGAAATGGATGTGGATGGAGGAGACTGTAGAGTATTTGTCTTCCATTATTTCCCCCACTTCTCTGCTCTTAAAAGTAATGCAAGAGGTCAGGGGATTTAGATTTAGCTCAGTGGTGCCACTGCCTGCCTTGCAAGCACAAGGTCCAGAGTTGGATCCCCAGCACTAAAAAAAAAAAAAAAAAAGAAA